GGAAGAGGGGTAGGAATAGCTTTAATTTGTGGTCCTCCTGCCAAAAAGATTGGCCCCCACTATTCTAGCCCATTTCACAGCAGTGCAAGGGAGTCAGTCTGCTTGACAGCCACTAGCAGGCCCCGTTCACTTCCTGGGGCGGGCTCCCATTGTATGGAGAGTGGTGTCCTGCTACACGGACAGAAACCCAAGGAAAGCTCCAGAGGGGCTTGAGTTCACGTGGGTTTTAAATGACACACACTCTCAAATATGTGCTCTGAGGGAAGCTCCTAGTTTGAGGCAAAGATAGCAGCAGCTCCATCACTCTGCAGAGCAGATGTGAACTCCTGCAGTTTCGGTATGCGAGACCAATGATTGCTCCATTCCAAAAGCCCTTTACATTGAAATAAAGGCTTGGAAAAAACACCTCTCAGGAAGCAGCGCTCTAGTGGCTGAATAGGAAGCCAGACAGGCAGAGGTACAGCTGCTGAAAAGCAGGGCAGAACTGCCAAGCTGCAGTCCACTGGAATCTGGAAGCACGGGTTTCTGCTGGCCCTGCTCTCTGCGGGCTTGATCACTGGAGTGAAAGGATCTGTTTTTCTGGTTGGAGTTTGGGCGGGGGGGAAGGCAGCATTAGTGACTGGAGGATTTACTGAAACTGAGCACAACAAGGTTTCAGCACTCTGAGAGCCATAGACAAGCTGGAGAAACCGTATCTTGTCTTACCAGGAGCAAGGTAGTACAGTTCGATGCCACGATGTCTGCTTCTCTCCTTGGCCAGCTCTTCCTGGGGGATTAATTTGAACTGATCTGCCAGGAATCTGAGAGGTGTCCTGTAGCCTCGTTGGGCAATCAGTGTTTACTGCAAGGCTCCTTCACCCCAGTCGCTGTTCCTCATCTCCCCTCTGCAGCCAGAAAGCAAATCCTTTCTCCAGGCTCAGATCTCTATAGAGACGGTGCAGAAGGAGCCCTGGTGACTAACCAATGTCTGAATTTAGAAAACCTAGCCAAGGGCCTTGTATTACAGTGAGAAACTAGTCTCTGGCATTAAGCAGGGGCCATAAGCAAAATAGTGACCAAGTGGCCACGCCAGAAGCTTGAACCAAGGGGGAATTGCCAACATCTCTTTTCGGTTTGAGACACCAAGAGCAATTCTGGCTTCTGTAACCCTCGCACTTGTCCACATCTCTTTTAACGTTCCTCTTCCTCATGGGTGTGTGGCAGACTCACACAGGTTGTGCCAGAGCAGTGTGCTGCTGTGCACAAATGGAACTGGGTAAAAACAGG